CAGTGCTCCCCTGGCTTTATCGGATGTCTTCAAAGGTAGGGTAAGCCCAGGCAGCTGTGTCTGAGGACTAAGCTTTTTCATCAATTCTGAAAAAAATCAAGATTGAAACAGCAGTTTTAAAAAAAAAAAAAAAATATATATATATATATATATCAGAAAGTGCAAAAAGAAAGTTAGCTGTCATTCTCTTTAAACACACACACAGATACACATCCAAGCTTACTTAGCCAAAGGGAACAACTACTTGGTAAGTAAGCCCTGTAATTAACAACACACTCTAAAACAGCCAGCAAAGCATAATCCTACCTTATAGTAACTCACTTATTTTTGTTCTCAATAAATTTTAACTTTATATTGTTAAGTCCAAATGTTCAAACTTGGTTTTAGAATATTACATGCTAGTAAACTTCATAGAAAATATTTGCAATAATTCTGTGGATGATTACCTTAGCTTATTGTAACATTGTCATAATAAGTATTAATTACTAATGATTGCTCAACTCCTACTTAAGAGAATTTTCCACAATCTTGTACCCTTAATGAACTCTCTGCTTCTGTACAGCTTTCTTTGCCCAGCAGCAACACAGTCATTATAGATGCTAGAATAAAAATTATGTATCACTAAGTCTCTTTTTCACTTTTTTTTTAAATAAAACATTGCCAGCACTTCTACCAAAGAGTTTGTGAAGAAAAAATGGTAAGTAGGAGTGAAAATGGGTGTGCAGGACTTCAGCCCAGGATCCAGCCTCAGTGTGGAGAACTTTTATGCACCTTCGCAGCGTGTTAGCTAGTAGCGTCAGTGGCCAAGATTATATACCCTAAAGATATGCGCTAAATTTAAACAAATAAAGATTATCAGAGTTATGAGGAAAGCAAAATTAGTGCCTGGACAATATCAGAATCTTTCTTATTAAAACCATGGTTCCCAATTGTATTTCTAAAACCACTATCCAGCCACAAGATATAATTAAATATTAGGAAAAAAAAAAATCCCATGGTCAAAAGTCTTTTGAAACTCTTGAGTTAAACATGTTGGAGAACTTCTTTGTGATATGTTAAGTCCATTTTGAATCACCAAAAGGGCAATCAAAATGCAAGTTTTCCAAAGTAATTGGACCCTGAAACTCTTTGATCACAAAAGGCATTATTTAACATTGCTCAAAATACAAGTGTCCTAAAGAACACTTAGAAAATGATGCATTTGAAGTTTGACAGTCATTGATCTCAATGTCTTTATCAACCCTATGGTTATTCATCAAATAGTGAATTAATATAAAAAATGCTAAATATGTAAAAACCTAACTGATTCATTCCTTTCTTTAAAGTGGCACCAAATGCATTTACATTCTGTAATATAATGTAAGCATACAAGGTCCCTTTCAATTTTAGAATATATATTGTAATTTAGGGGAAAATTTGACCTTTATTTCTTTCCATGTGCTTATTTTCATAACAAAATGTAGGGTAAACAATTTATTCATTTATTCATTAATGCATTTGCATCTTAATCCTTCTATTTCTCCTAAATGCTTATAAAATGTTTTGGAGATTGTCTTAGTTCAGTTTTATTAAAAAATGAATGAATAAGTAGAATGGATCATAATGGAAAGAGTGTTTTGTGTCCAAATATTTACTAAGAAGCCACTCAGAGTCTTGCTTACACCACTTTTAAATTGGAGATTGAAAATCCATCTATGCAGAACAAGGGGCTTCTTCCTCATTTTAGACAGCTAGGATCAATCCTTTCTTCATTTTCCGACTTTATTGGCCTCTAATCGGAAAGCTAAGGATCTCTTTCAGATGTAGAGCTCCTTTACAAGCTTTGAAATTGCTGAAGCAGCTTATTTTTACACAATAAAGCCTACATATAACATGTGTCATTCCATAACCCTTGTGCTAATCCAAAATAAATAGAAATCATACATGAACTGAAACCTGACCTGCTCCTTGAAGCATAGCTCAATGGGAAGGCAGCATTTTTAAAGATATTTACATTTAAAAGAAAGGAAGTAATTTCTTTACCTTGGAAAACCAGAGATAATTTTAAAGGTTTTGGAAAGAGTGAAATTTTATCAAGCAAATTATTTTTACATATATTTGTATAGGTTCAAACACATGTATTTTTAAATTCAATAATCATGAGCTAATATCTGCAACTTTCTTTAAGGCTAAATAAACGAGGAAGCCATCTTGTTTTCCACATCGCTGGCTCTAGAATGCTATAGAAGATCACCATGACAACAGGAGCCGGTTTGCCTGGTGTGAAGACAACAGTGTAGGCCTCATTTCTTAAGTGCATGTTTCTACTAAAGTTGAATCACCAATTAAAAGATTCTTTTCTATCCTTGGGGGCTTCAGAGATGCAAATGGTGTGTGTTGGGGAGGCTGGCCAGTCAGTTGCTATACCTAGTAACTCCTCCTGATTATCTAAAAATAAAATGACTCCTTTAAATTTTTAAAAGATACAAACCTGGATATTTTTGAATCACACTGAGCTGGGAGTTAATACACAAATCCAGTAGACTTGCTTGAAATTGTGAGCTACTATCCTTGCTGTAACTTATAATTACTCTTTAAACCCCTTAAAATAGACTATTCTGAATGTGTTTTTATCTTATCATCATTTTATGAGGCACACAAAAATGTTGTCTGTAGCTCTCCACATCACTCATTATGTGAATAGTAAGCATAGAATGTAATAAAGAGATTTGAGGTAGGTTTTTAAAAAAATTTTAAATACGTGATTACATAAAGTAAAATTTGAATACCAATCTGAATTTATTCTTACAGAATGTCTTTATTATTTAAAGCAAAAAAAAATTACAAAGCAAGAATTAAAAAAAAAAAGGTCCCAGATTCACAAAAGAATTTTCACATGTGGAAGCTTAAACTCACTAATGAGTTTTGATCTTAAGGGGGAAAATGTGTATATATTAGGGGACAAAAAAAAAAAAACTAAAAAGTTTCACATAAATATTTTTAATATAGCAGTTTAAAAATGTATATCAGCATCATTCTATGTACACAAAAATAAATGTTTGCCACCAATCTCCCTAATGTATATTTTATGAATTTCTCCTTTCAGTAGCAACTTGATAAATATATATTTCAGTTTTATATCTTGCTATCCTTTTTTAAAATACCATTTTAAAAATACCTAAATTATATTACTAAGTACCCTGATGATTTTATAATAAGAAAGAGAAGATGTAAGTTCAACAAAATTAATTTTCAATGAAAATTACACATTTACTTTCATAGGCATACAATAAAGACATATGCTGTTAAATGGTGCTGTTTACAAATTATGTGCCCAAAATTCATGGTAAACACTAGCCAATTTTCTCTAACATGTGTTTGTATATTTAACTGTTTCTTTGTATAGCTAATTAAATGTTTGTTGCAAAGTCTCATGGGAGGCTCATTTGCATATACCTTGTTATAATGGCTAAACACATTCTCACTAAGTATTGCCTGATGAATAGATATTTCACAAATGCTTGCCATGGACACAACAACAAACTACGGGCACATGTCATTATTACTGTAGTCCATCAGCACAACCCTCTTGGTTCTAACTGCATAATTGGACTCATTTAGAATCATTTACTTTTTTATGAATCATAACTAAGATAGCATTGCATTTTAATTTTTTAAGTTTAATTAAAATAAAAATTTGTTCAGTTTTTTGCTTAACCACATAAATATTTTAATGTGAATTCACACACAAGCCAGATTTTAGGAGAAAATATACCAACTATCAGAAAATAATCAAATTCAGATATGAATTGACACAAAAATGAACAAAAGTATAAATGCTGTACCTTCTTCACACAATAACTATGAAAATTACTTATGATAATCCATGTAAATAAAATACCAGTTGATCATCATTTACAGTAAGCAGTAGTTTCCTTCCAGCTTTTTCTGTGAAATGAAACGGTGTAGAGTAACATAAAAAGAACAGTGGGTAACTTATAAAACTAATTCTTCCAAGAAACTCACAAGACACATTGGCATATGTATCAATAAAGGATGTTTAGTTTTGGTGTGATATTAGTTTTGCAGCCAGGCGACCTTATAAAAGCTGAAGTCATTACTCCTTTCATTTCCTATGAATAATTGGTTTGCTGATTAATAAGCCCTTAACATGTTCAATTAAATTCTTTGCAATCTATTATTTTGCTATTTCTTTTACATATTTCTAACTTCTTTAAATATGTCTCATGAATTTTCATAATAAATTCAAACTTAGAATATCTATAAATTTAATTAAGTGCTTTTTTCATCCTCTCTTGTGGGTGATTTAAATATCCTAAATTAGATGTCTGGTGGGTTTATAACTCAGTGTTAGAGCACTTGCTTAGCAGGTTCTTAGTTCAACCACTAGCACCAAAAAAAAAAAAAAGTACCCTAAATTAAATTATAACAAATAACAAACTCCTCTAAGACCCCACAATGTTTTGTCATGAATGCATTTTACCTGACAGAAAATGAAGTCGCCAATGATGTTTTTAAAAAAGAACTGTAGGAGTTATATGGACGTTACATTTTTGCAAACGAAGAGAAAACTGAACATTTCTTGCTAGGAAATACTAAAATGTATAACAGTAATAACAGCCATAATTTTGATATTTAGAAAATTTTAATTAAAAAAACTGGACTACAATGACTGTGGATACTTATGTCAGCAGTGTTATATATATATGTGTAAAACCATTCTGTGCGTGCATATGTGAGTCAATGTACACGTCGAAGCCGTATGTCAGAGCAAACAAACCAACTGCTCAGAGTGGTCAAGTGACTCAGGGGAGTAAAACCAGGGAAGATAATTAGGGGCACTTTCATTCTTTCAATTTTCTCAATAGCATGTCCTATTTATGTATTTTTAAATAATTATAGTTATATTTGTAAAATAATAGATAATATCATACTCATTATGATACATTGATACACCAATATATTTACATATTGACTGATACATCTGAATTAGAACCTACCTGTATGTTCTGCTCTCCATCTCAGGGGACACACACATATGGCACTTAGACCTGGGTATCATGAAGTCCCTGAAAGAAGAAACGCACTTTTGCAAATTTAGACAAATTATCATTTTAAAATGTCAAATTTGGTTCATCTAAGTCCACTAAAAATATGTCTTGCTGAGATATTATGTGTAAGATACTTGATAGGCAAAATAGAATGAAGAATTTATTCACCAGGAGGAAGGTTAGCTTTGTGGTTAAGATAAAATGATGTGGCTGAACCACTCCTCCCACTAAGGTTTTAAGGAAATTAATTGACTTCTTTGGGCATGAATTCCTTCCCCTCACAAATGAGTATCATAATAACGCCAGTTTCACAAAATTGCTCTGAGAATTGAGTGAGATTTTTTTTTTTTGAGATACGGTTCGGCTATGGGCCCAGACTGGCATCAAAGTTGTCATCCTCCTGCCTCAACTCCCTAAGTGCTGGGATTATAAACTTGCACTTTCATGCCTACTAATTTTTGCAAGGCATTTAGCACAGACCCTGGCACTTAGTAGACACTATAAAAATAATATTTATTGTACGTAATGAGTTCAATATAAAGGTATTGAAAGATAGTCCCAGCATCTTAAATTCTTTCGGAACAAGGAAACTTATAAGCAAGTCAATAAGCAACTAAGATATTATAAATGAATATATAAATACAAAAACAAGAATAGCTGAGTGAATTGCAGTAAATGGTCTCTTGATATAGTTTGTATTCAATTAAATGGAGAAGCAAACCACGCAAGTTGTGTGATACAATGTGAAGATGGAGGCATTTTATCAGTTCTGCCTGCAAAGGCAGCTAACATTCCAGAATGGATGACACTCTTGCTAAAGACGGGGTTAAGAATCTCGAACTCAGGACTTGAAAATCATGCTCACCCATGCATGCATACCATTTCTCAGACTGTGGATTCAAATCCAAACTGACTAGCCTTGAAATAAAATATCCTGCACAACATGAATCAAATTCTTTCCAGTTTCACCTTTTCCTCTCCATCTCAACACCCAGAAGAAGTTATTTCTACATTCCCTCAATCCTTTATCCAATAGTGGTAGGGAATTATGAGCTTTAGCATTCAGAATGTTTACGATTTTTTTTTTTTTTTTTTGCGGTAGATACTGGGGCTAGAACTCTTGAACTCAGGGCCTACAGCTTGAGCCATTCCACCAACCTTTTTCTTTTTGTGATGGGTTATTTTGAGATAGGGTCTTGGCTCGTGAACTATTTGCTCGGGCTGGCTTTGAGGTGCGATCCTCCTGATCTCTGCCTCCTGAGTAGCTAGGATTATAGGTGTGAGCTACCAGTGCCCAGTTTTTGAAAGGTAACTTGATGTAAGACTTTATAAGAAGTCTGAGGTAATATCATATCAAACACATCAAAACAGATGTAATAAAACACAAAAGTACTCATCTTATATCAGTTTGTTTTCCTAACAAGGGAGATCAGATCACATCAGAATTGACATGAAATGAGTTAAGAAAATCATTTTAATTTTTAGAACGTTCTGCTGGTAAATGGATGGAATTGGAGAACATCATTCTGAGTGAGGTTAGCCTGGCCCAAAAGACCAAAAATCGTATGTTCTCCCTCATATGTGGACATTAGATCAAGGGCAAACACAACACTGGGATTGGACTATGAGCACATGATAAAAGCGAGAGCACACAAGGGAGGGGTGAGGATAGGTAAGACACCTAAAAAACTAGCTAGCATTTGTTTCCCTTAACGCAGAGAAACTAAAGCAGATACCTTAAAAGCAACTGAGGCCAATAGGAAAAGGAGACCAGGAACTAGAGAAAAGGTGAGATCAAAAAGAATTAACCTAGAAGGTAACACACACGCACAGGAAATCAACGTGAGTCAACTCCCTGTATAGCTATCCTTATCTCAACCAGCAAAAACCCTTGTTCCTTCCTATTATTGCTTATACTCTCTCTACAACAAAATTAGAAATAAGGGCAAAATAGTTTCTGCTGGGTATTGGGTGTGGGGGGGAGGGAGGGGGCGGAGTGGGTGGTAAGGGAGGGGGTGGGGGCAGGGGGGAGAAATGAACCAAGCCTTGTATGCACATATGAATAATAAAAGAAAAATGAAAAAAAAAAAAAGAACGTTCTGGTTTTAAAATTGTAAATAAGGGATTTTTGATCTGTGTTATCCAAATATACTATGATCTTTTTTCCTCACTAAAATCTATTTCTTCTGTTACTAAGGTTCCTTCCCCTTCTAAACAATTCATTCTTCAGGGCCCAACTCAGGTATCATCATCTTAATAATCTATGTCAGCAATGATTATTTTCTGGGTCTCATTAATACTTTGAGAATGTCTCATTGTTTCGATGACATTGTACACTAGTTCTTTGTTTAAAACTATGTCACTCCCTCTGTATGTTGCAAAATTTAAGGGCAGGATTTTGTCTTACTCTTTTTAGTATCTTCCATTTATTAAGCAGTATCTGGCATATGGTGAAAACTCAAGATCAGCAACAGGCACAAGGCTCTAAGTACAAAGCTCAGTACCGCCAAACCAAAAAAAAAAGTAGCAGAATTGAGTTAACTCATAAAACAAGCATAAAAATATGCAAAAATCAACCATCAAGCTTCAAGTGATATAAGTCCTAGGAGTGGTTCAGACTAAAGAAAAATCAGGAAAAGTTTTACTACTACATAAATAGCTTGAAAAGTATATTTTGGGGATAGTAATTAAACAGATATGTTTATGAAAGGTAAACCAGTCTTAAAAAGAATATAAAGGAAGTGGTCCAGATGAAGTAGAATGATTCATGTTGGGAAAAAATAGGAGAAAAGCCACAAAGGAACAATAGTACCAAACTGAACAGAACTTGGAGCTGAGTGGTGACACAGTCTGTTTTCATTCTACTGCACATCAGACACCAGTATTTTTATACTCCTGTATTGAACAAGGGAAAAACCAGTAGAATAAAACCAAGCAATAAATCCTTCCATACTGATATGTTATGTTTTGGTAGGCAAACAACTTATACTGACTAATAAGTAAAACAATGTTAAGGTGAATGGTTGATGAAGGAAATCATTGCTCATTCTCATACAGTGAACCATGAAAAACAAGTACAGATAAGTTGATTTGACTCTGAGGCAGTAAAATCAATGGAAAAAAAAGGTTAATAGTTTTCTAAAGAAAAAAGATATAATTGATGTATAGATTTTAAAAATACTTTTAGTATGTTATTTTAAGTCCAGGAAGAAAAATATTTTGACAATTTGGTGAAAATTAGGAAAATGGTATAGAATCTACAAATACAAGGAGAAGGGAAAAATATAATTTTGAAAGTTTTTCATTGCTGACCATTGTTATGGGATATTTTTTTAAAAGGACAGAAACAGTGTTTTGTGAAAGCACATTAATTATTAAAACTGTTATGCATTTTACCACCTTTTCTTCCCCAAAAATGTTGCCTCAAACATTAAAGATTTCTCATTACTAGATTAAAGATTAATAAAAATTTATGTTTCCAGAATGACAGACTGAGAGCAGCTTTAAACACTTTTGTGGAATGATTTTCATGAATCCACCAGAGATATCTCATACTCCAACATTAGCCTTTGGCTTATCATGGAGACTAAGTATCAACCATGAGAAGTTATCATCCCATTGAGTCTTGCAGGGTTTCCATCTAATGGATTTTCTCTTTCTTTCTTTCTTTCTTTCTTTTTATTGTTGTGCTAGGTAGGAGTACATGGTGGCATTCACAAAGTTCTTACAATGTATCAAATATATCATATTTGAATTCAGCCCATCATTCCCTATATCCTTCCTTCCCCCATTCCTGGAATAGTTTCACCAAGCATCATTTTTCCATTTACACACCTGTATACACAGTATTTGCATCATATCTTCCCTCCTACACCCTTTCCCCACCTCCTCCTACTTTCAAGTACCAGTCCTCCCCCACCTCAACTTTAAAATCTGTATCAGCTGCTCCAGTCTATAGTTAGTGCCCTTTCACTCATAGTCAGCTGCAAAGTTCAAGGCAGTGAATTAAACCCAAGGTAAGATGAGGATGGAGAAAGAGACAGACTTCTGTTCTGAAACTTTGCTGCGTTCAATGAAATTATGCCCAAGTGAACAAGCATTCTTCAAATGCCAACCCTCTTGCCCTGCAAGACTTGTTTCCACAGCAAACACACAGTTGACCCTCAGTTAATCATAAAAGTGCCTAAGCCAGGAACCCGAATCTCCGACCCATGCCTTTTTAATTCTAGTCTTACTTTACCTGACCCTGTCAACTCTTTTGAATTGTTCCCTTTTAGAAACCATTTCAGATTCTTACACTTTAAGAGATATATTGTGGCGCCACTCAGTAAAAACCATATACCAGTTAAAAGAAGGATAAAAAATTCTTTTCAACTAGAACAATAATAAACATCTACAAGCAAATGTTTGCATTAAATTAGCAAATCAGCAAAGGTGGTTCCTTTCCTTAAGTAAAAGGTCATGCTAACTTTAGAAGTAATAACACAAACATGTTAAAGATCCATTAAGCTCAGGTCTATCTTGTTAACATGAAATTTATTATTATGTAATTACATATATTTAATTCATATTACTGCAACTAAGCCAAATCCTTTTGAAACAAAGAGGAAGAAAAATAAATAAATCTTGCTTTATGAAATTTAATTGAATCTACATTCAAAAAAATGTGACCTATGTATTAACAGGAAAGGCTGGCGTACTCTTCAATTGCTTTCTTATATAACTGGTAAAAAGCCTTGAAATTTTTAAAGCAGAATTTGTACAGTTTCAAGAGTAAGTGTATTCAAATGGCCTTCCATCTCACAAGTTCATATTTTTATTATATTTTCTTCTGTATATATTTAGCACAATGTTATGCTCACCATGGAGTCTGAATAATTTTATGCTGATTATACGGTGAGATGCGATAAAATAGAGTTTGTGAGTCTTGGCAAAATCTCTTCCCTTCTCTGCCTCTCTCCCTCTTTTTCCTACATGCATGCAAAGAAGCAGGCACACACACACACACACACACACAC